GGGCAGCCGATCAATGATCTCTCTTATCATTGATGTTTCTCTCTCTCTCTCTCTCTCTCTCTCTCTCTCCCTCTCCTTTCTCTCTGATATCAATAAAAATAATATTTAATTTTTTTTTTTTTTTAAATATATTTTATTGATTTTTTACAGAGAGGAATGGAGAGAGATAGAGAGTTAGAAACATCGATGAGAGAGAAACATCGATCAGCTGCCTCCCTGCACATCTCCCACTGGGGATGTGCTTGCAACCCAGGTACATGCCCTTGACCGGAATCGAACCTGGGACCTTTCAGTCCGCAGGCTGACGCTCTATCCACTGAGCCAAACCAGTTTCGGCAATATATTTAATTTTTTAAAAAGATTGCTGGGAACATTTTTTACCTATAAAAATGTTTTATGTATCTCCCAGTGAAGTTGCAGGTAGCAGAGTTGTTAGTTGTTATCTTCTCTATTTTACATACTTTTGTGAGGATTGGTCATGGGTGCGATATTTTTCTCAACTAATAATAATAAAAACTGACCTTGGATTTGAACCCAGGTCTTTCTATCTCCAGAGCCCACTCTCTAAAACTTTCTATGCACATTTCAACAAAAGACTCATTCCAGCACTATAGCCAAACTGTTGCTTCCTTTTTAATTTTAAATAATATATATTATTATTGACAGTATTACAGATGTCCCCCATATTCCCTTGTTGCTTCTTTTTAATAGGGCACATTATTAAAGAATTAAAGATAGAGCCAACATATTGACTCTAGGATCTAAAAGTAAACTATTGGCATGTCACACATAGCTTTTATCGTACTGCATTGCTTTGGACTCACCTTTACTTAGCAAGTAAAATAATGAGGAGTATTCTTTTATATATATTAAGCATATTTCCTGAATTTAAGTCTCCCACTTGGCTATGCCAGTGCTTATATAATTTTAAAACTCCAAATAGTTAAGAGATACAATTACATGATACTTTTCTATGTTCTCTACGTTTCATGAACTTAATACTTTTGTGACTCCTTTAAAGGAAAAACTATCTTGAAAACATTCCTGGAGAAATTCGGCAATAAAACTGGGACCGACTTTGTGGAATTACTTCAGCCTAACTGTCCCCTTCAAAAGAAACTTAAGGCCATGAGGATCAAGAGCCACTCTGCATTCTTTTTTTTTTCTTTTCAATTTGCATTCTGAAGTGTTTTGTTTGTTGCTCAGGTTGAAAGCATGTCATGATGAATAAACTCAGTGATAAGTAATTTTTTTAGTTTCTGTATTTGGAGAACTTACTGGCCTATGAATCATCACATACCTATAAAATGAATTAAATTTAACTGAATTTTAGTATTGTGGAGAATGAGTTTTGACCATTTTCCTGGACTCACCTATTCTCCTGAGAATGGTGAATGTAGAGATTTGCCTTCTCATTCATTCAACAAGTATCCATTAATCACCTACCATGTGCCAAGCAAAATTTTAGGAGCTAGGTATGTAGATGAATGAGACACAATTTCCCTTCTCATAGAGCTTACATTCAGACCAGTTTTTCTTTTTCATATGTCTTGTAGGGGAGGATTTGTGTTAATAGTATATAGAGAATTTTTGTTCAGGCACATTTTAAGATAAAACTGCAGAATCTTGGATTGGCTCTGACACAAAGAGCTAGAGCCATGGCTGGGTTGCTCAGTTGTTTGGAGCAGCGTCCCCTATATCAGAAAAGGTTTGATTCCTGGTCAAGGCATATGCTGTACCTAGGTTGCGGGCTTGATCCAGTCGGGGCATGTACAGGAGGCAACCTATCAATGTTCTTCTCTCACATCGATGTTTCTCTTTCCCTCTTCTTCTTTCTCCAAAAATCAATTTAAAAAATCTGTAAACATGGAACACTAATCTATAGAGATAGAAGAAAGAATAATGGTTTCTTGGGGTGGGCATTGACTGGGAAGAGGCACAAGAAAACTTCTTGAGTCAGTGGAAATATTCTTAATTTTTACTTTGTTGATTATATGGGTATATGAATATACAAAAAAGGCATCAAGCTATACCCTTATGATGCTTGTATTTTTCTACATATAAATTACACCTCTAGATGTAATACTCTAAAAAGACTATAATATTACCTTTGCAGTATTCTGGCAGAGAATGCATAACCGCAGTCTACTCACAAGGAAATATCAAATGAACAAAAATGAGGAACTTTTCTATTTAAAAAAAAATGTTAATGCATAAAATGCCCCCAAAAAGCCTGTTGAAATGTTCCAGATTAAAGAAAGCTATGGAGACATGACAACTAAATACAATAGCTGACCGTAGATTGACTCCTAAACTGGAAGGGAAGAAAGGTATTAATGACTCTATTGGGACAACTGCAGCAGGTTAAATAAAAATGTACCAGTATATACTTATGAAGTTGACAACTATACTGTAGTGCTGTAAGAGAGTATCTTGATTCTTAGAATATACACCCTAAAGAATTTAAAGGTAAAAAACCATGATATATATATATAACTTGCCTTCATATCATTCAGAGAGAGAGAGCAAGTGATAAAGCAAATGGGATAAGATAAATCTATGTGGGTTTTCTTCTCATGGTACTGTTTTAATTTTTCAAATTTTTGTACATTTGAAATTGTTTCCAAATAAAAGTGTGTGTGTGTGTGTGTGTTTCTTTTATAGTTTCTTAAGAAACAGAAAGAATTGCTCAGGGATTATACTTGACCTCTTAAGAATAATTACCTTATTATTTTAAGTATGTTTGATGACGGAGAATCATTGATTGATCCTCTTTATTTGAACTTCTCTTTAGCTCTGACACAACACCTCTTTTAAATGGATCAAGCCAAGACAGAATGTTTGAAACAATGGCAATTGAGATTGAACAGCTTTTGGCAAGGGTAAGGACTTTCTGTTAAATGGCTTTTTTCTAAAAATTGTGTATTTGTTAGATATGGTATTAAATTATATTAACACAGACATTTATTGAAGTCACCACCTTTCCATTCAAGGTGTGTGCTTCTTAAGCCACTTGAATTTTGATCACAGCTATTTCCAGGTCCCATGAGAGTTTTTTTTTTAATTTTATGTATTACGTGGTGGGAGTACTGGATCCTTGCGTACTAGCTTCTTGTTTTTGGTTTATTTGTTGCTGTTAGCCAAAGGGCAAACAGGCAAATAATTTATTTTATCTCTTTATAGTGCTTTCTAAAATATATATATATATTTTTCCTTTCTCTTTTTTTTTTTTAGCTTACAGGAGTAAATGATAAAATGGCAGAATATACCAACAGTGCAGGTGTCCCCTCCTTGAATGCAGCACTGATGCATACATTACAGCGACATAGAGACATATTGCAGGTAATACACTGGGCTTGAGAGTTTTATGTTGTTATGGGGTTTATTTTAATCCCTGAATAGATTGTGTGCACATGTACTTAAGAGAACACACGGGGAAATCTTCTGAGAGGATAAATGCCATGCTATAGAAGTTTGTCTTGTTTTACTTTTTTTTCCTTGGTATTATAAAACTCTGAAAATGTCTGATACCTAAGAACTCTTGCTTTTGCCTGGTAAAATTGAATACTATTCATCAGTAGGTAAATAAACCATGGGAAACCTCGCTAGCTAACTGAAACAGTGAAATAGCCAATGGTCATGCATAGGCAATAATATGGTGGTTTAGAGTATACTTTTACTAGCCTTCGAAGATAACATGGAAGAGGAATAATTTACTATATTTAGAATATTGTTTGAGAAAATATTAAAACCAAATGAAATAAACTCTTAAAGATTTATATATGGGCTGTTAATATATACTATAAAATAGGAGGGCAAATCTTTGTAATATTGAAAAAATTCAGCAGCCATTTCTAATGTAAAAAACTCTTGTTAAAAATAGGAATAGAAGGATACTTTAGTTGCCTAATGCAAAAAAAATGTGTATTTCAGATTAAAAGTTAGCATCATGCTTAATAATAGAGCACTAAAAAATTCCCATTAAAGGAAAAGAAAAAACAACAACAACAAGAATACCCACTATCACCACAATGTTTAATATTGTTTTGGAAGTTCTTTGTGGTGCAATTAATAAAGAAAAACAAGATAAAGGAAGAGACAAAATTTGTATTATGTGGCAGTGATAAGATTATATAGCTAATACAACCAAAGAAAACTAAAAAAATGTATTAGGAACAAATTCGGAGAGATTATAGATCACATTCTATATAATAAAAGGCTAATATGCAAATAGAATGAATGGCAGAGTGACTGGTTGCTATGATGCACACTGACCACCAGGGGGCAGACGCTCAATGTAGGATGCCCTTGGTGGTCAGTGTGCTTCCACAGAGGGAGTGCTGCTCAGCCAGAAGCCCAGAAGCCCAGAAGCTGGGCTCATGCTGGCAAGCACAGTGGTGGCAGGAGCCTCTCCCACATCCGCGGCAGCGCTAACGATGTCCAGCTTAGGCACAGTCGGACAAACCCCCAAGGGCTCCTGGACTGCGAGAGAGCACAGGCCAGCCTGAGGAACCCTGCCTTCCTCGAGTGCATGAATTTCGTGCACCAGGCCTCTAGTTAATATATAAAGGCAAGTAGTTTTTCTCATATAAACAATAACCTGTTCGAAAATACAGTGGAAGAAATTATAACATCCTATGTATAAATGTAATAAGATGTATAGAACTTGAATGCATAAAACTATACTGAGAAATGTAAAATATTTACTCTGCTTTTGGATGGGAAGATTTCTCTCTAAATCAACTTATAAATTAAATGCATTTCTAATGAAAGTAACAGGTTTTTAAAATTTATTTGTTCCTTTTTTTTAAAAAATTGGCAAAATGATTCCAGTTTATTTGGAATCATAGGCATACAAGATTAACCAAGAAAAAACATGTGAAAATTAAGATAAGTAGTAAAGGATGCTTAGTTCTGCCAGATATTAAAACCTGTGAAGAAGCTAGAAAAATTAAGAGTTTGATTCTAGAGAGAAAGGGACCAATGGAATTGAATAAAGTTCACCTATAGACCCAAATATGCATGGAAATTTAGTTTTACCATAAAGGTAGTATTTTAAATTCATGGGAAAAAGAGAGGTTATAAAATAAATAGAGCTGTAACTATTGGCTAATTATTTCGGGGGGTGGGGGGGAACCAAACCTCAAATTATATCTCATTTCTTCCATCCAGAATAAATTCCAGATGGATCAAAGATTTATATGTAGAAAAAGAAAGTTCAGAATAAAGCAAGGGTGAATTTATCCGTTTTGGGTAGTAAAAGACTTTCTAAGCAAAACCTAATACCAGAAACTATAAAAAATAATTTGCTTACTATACAGAGAAATCATAGAAATAAGAAAAAAGTTAGCCTAATATGAAAATGGGCAAATGATATGAACTTGTATCCAGAAAATGAATTGCCAAAGCCATAAAAAGATGTACAGCTGCCTTCCCAAATCAAGATGAGATCAGATTTTTCACTTGTTAGATTAGCATATATTGGAACATGTGTAACCTATTATTGGCAAGAGTATAGGAAAATGGGTATTCATTTTGCTGGGAACATAAATTAGTGCAGTCTGATTTAAATGTAAGATTCTTTGATTTAATTATTCTGGTAGGCATTTACTCTTTAAATACACTTTAATAAGGGAGAAAGAGAATTCAATAAAATATATATACAAGAATGTTTATTGTGGCATTTTTTTAAAAATATGTTTTATTGAGTTTTTTACAGAGAGGAAGGGAGAGGGATAGAGAGTTAGAAACATCGATGAGAGAGAAGCATCGATTAGCTGCCTCCGGCACACCCCCTAATGGGAATGTGCCTGCAACCAAGGTACATGCCCTTGACCGGAATCGAACCTGGGACCCCTCAGTCCGCAGGCAGACGCTCTATCCAGTGAGCCAAACCTGCGAGGGCAATTGTGGCATTTTTTAACAGCAAATAAAACAACTAAAATGTTCATCAATAGGTATTTTTTTAAATGATGATAGTCATAGATAGATTTCTATTTGATAATATGGAAAGATTACTTGATATTTTGGTTCATAAAACAAAGTGTACAGCAGAATATAGTATGATTTCTTTAACATAAATGAAAACTAGGTAAGCTTGTATATGCAAGAACATATTTCCTGAAAGAAAATTAAAGTGATGATGTTATAAGCTGTGGAGCAGGATGGTTTCTACTTTTATTTCTTTCAGTGCTCTTTTAGTTTTCTCCCCATTTATTGCAGGATTATACACATGAATTCCATAAAACCAAAGCAAACTTTATGGCAATACGGGAAAGGGAGAATCTCATGGGATCAGTACGAAAGGATATTGAGTAAGTTACCTTTTATATTATTTTGTAGGATGTTTGTTCAGATTTAGATTTTGAGTATATCCATGATTATCAGCAAATTGAGTGGCAGAATCATGGTTTAGATTTAAAGGTTTCTAATGTCTGTTTCACTTTCTTTAAACATTGCTGTTACAATATGGTCTACTTTGCTGGTCTTAACCCCAGCTTCCCCTAGTTTTACCATTGCCTCCTGCCTACCTTGGCTATCCTGTCTTAATTCAAAGTCCAGCTTACATGATAACTTCATGAGTTTTTCTCTGCCCCTACCACCCACCTTAAGAATTATAACATTACCAGTAACTGAAGCTCTCTGTGTTTTGCTTCCTGATGACCTACCTACCCCTCTATCTTGCCCCTACAATTATATATTCAGCAAACTATTAAAGTAGCTTTTACTTTCCTGGAATCTGAAATATATCTATTTTTTTTCCTAAAATTATAACTGTTTATAAAGTTATTTAAAGATTTCCAATATTTTTATGCTGATCTTAATCCATAACGTTAAAGGTTTGTTCTTTTCTTACCTACCTTTACCTCATATTCGATAATATATTCCAGCAGTTCATATACATTTTTGACATTTCTTTTTTCTTTTTTTAATCATCACCCTTGGATATTTTTTCCATTGATTTTTAGAGAGAGTGAAAGGGAGGTAGGAGGGGGGAAGAGAGAGAGAAAGAGAAACATTGATGTAAGAGGACACATCGACCCTTGCCTCCCACACTTGCTCCGGGGGGTGGCAGGGATCAAACCTGCAACCGAGGTACATGCCCTTGACTGGGAATCAAGCCCAAGACCCTTTGTTCTGGGGGCCGACACTCTAATCACTGAGCAACCAGCCAGGGCCATTTTTGATTTTTTTTTTTTCCCCACAACTCAACACAGCCAACAAGGCTGAATCTATTGAGCATCTAATTCAGCGGTTCTCAACCTGTGGGTCGCGACCCCTTTGGCGGTCGAACGACCCTTTCACGGGGGTCGCCTAGGACCATCCTGCATATCAGATATTTACATTACGATTCATAACAGTAGCAACATTACAGTTATGAAGTAGCAACGAAAATAATTTTATGGTTGGGTCACAACATGAGGAACTGTATTTAAAGGGCCGGGCGGTTGAGAACCACTGAATAAAGCTGAAGACTTCCCACTTTTGATGCCTGTCATTGTCTCACTTGCGATAAGTTTATGATACTTATATTTCATGAGTATGTTACTTATGATTCATAAACTGTGATATACATTATCAATCATAAGATGATATAGTGTACTCTGACAAACATTTTCCTCAAGATTCTTTATTTTGTTGTAAGAGTAAGACAGTTTTGCAGCAGAAATAATTTAGTACTCATTGCATTCAAAACTTTGTTCAAAACTCTAACCCACAATTTTTCAGCCATCAAAGTTAGGTATCTACCTCCAGAAATTGTTTTGGAAAAATAATTTTTACTGTTTGTCTCTGTTTTACCTGTTTTTTATTTTTAGACATGTACTTTGTGTAACATAGGAGTAAAAAAAACCCCTAAACATTCTTGCCATAATTAGGAACTTTGTAATATTTTTAGTTTTTAAGAACATGTAAATCTTTTAATTTCTGAACAGTCTGTTTACATATACCTCTTAAGGAATGCATTTTGGACCAGTGTAGGGAACAGCCTTTAATATATAGGCATTTAGCTTCCCCATAATTTGTGGAAATGACTAGAATACAGCCCATTTTAATAATTTGTTTCCTGAGAGATGATCATAAAAGAAACATGTTCATCTATTCATCTAAACTATTTCTTCCTGATTGCCGTCCATGAGTAAGACACTATGCCAGTCACAGTAAAAGGTAGAAATGAAAAGACCAATCTGGCCCTCTAGGTGTTAGAAGGCAGTTAGGCACTTACTCAAATTAATATAATACGAGGCAGAATACAATTAGTGAGATGAGATATAGCAGTAATAAATGACATTTTCAAGTTTTTGGCAATTACATACCATTTTTTGGGTTTCATATAATCTTTTGGTATTTATAGCAATTACTAGTTCTCGTTTATAAAACTAGGTATTAAGAGACTTGTCACCCTAACCGGTTTGGCTCAGTGGATAGAGCGTCGGCCTGCGGACTGAAGGGTCCCAGATTCGGTTCCAGTCAGGGGCATGTACCTTGGTTGCGGGCACATCCCCAGTGGGGAGTATGCAGGAGGCAGCTGATCGATCTCTCATCGATGTTTCTAACTCTCTCTCGCTCTCCCTTCCTCTCTGTAAATAATCAACAAAATATATTTTTTTTTAAAAGAGAGACTTGTCTAAGGTCACTAACTGGTTAATAAGTGAAGGAATATAGATTTAAATCCAAACCATGAGTCTTTAAAGTCCAGTGTGTTCAGTTATAACATTCTGCTTTTCCTGGTGTTCTCTTTCCTGCTGTGGTTTGCACATTAACTGCCTCTCAGCCAGTAGATAAGTTTTAGCAGCACGACCCTCTTTTGTCTTACTGCAGTATATGTACAGTTACTTGATGTTTTAATTTTTGTTCTTAATACTTACTGTGAGTAAAGAACAGAAACATGGGAGGTTAGTGACACAAGGCATTTTCTTACAAATTTTAATGTGCTTAAGACCAAGATAAAAATCCTTAAGTATGCCAAAATTGGCAAATCCTTAGCTTCAGTTTAGTGCTCCTTAGGCTTCAGTTGAGGGACTACATGTACCATTATGAAGGAAACACTCCATTTCAGTAGCTCTTCCATCCCATGTGCTGTGTAATAATTAGTCCAAAGTTTACTTACACTTGGAGAAAATAAAAATATAGGAGATAATAGACAAAGAAAGGAAAAGTAAGATTTTTGTTTGTTTAAGAATACTGGATTATTTTGGTGAAAAATAATGAACTCTTAAGCCTAAATTAGAGCTATTCATATTTATTTATAATAAATTTCATTTTTAGAAGGAGATGAAAAGGAATATGCATTTTAATTGTTAATTTAAAACTATGTAGAGGCTCAATTTGTCCACTTTGGCTATTACTAGAGTTGTCACATTAATCTTTTTTTTTTTTTTTTTGCAACATCTGCCAAAATGTTCTTAAATCTGCCCAAAATGTTCTTTAATTTTCTCTATTTTGTTCTAGGTCATATAAAAGTGGGTCTGGAGTAAACAACAGAAGAACTGAACTATTTTTGAAAGAACATGAGCACCTTCGAAAGTAGGTATTACTGAATGTATGCATATACTATTGTAGTTTTCCATACTTAATAATTCATTTGCTTATATAAGAAATTTTTGTGGTGTTTATTATAATAAGTGCTTTTATCAATGATAATTCATTTAATTTTCTAGTTGACCTTGCTCAGTAGAAATGGAATTGCACTGTTCCAACAATAATTAGAAAAGATATGCTCTCAATATCAAAAATCTACATTCACATCACTTAATTGTTACCAGAAATATGTGCTTTATTGCCTATTTTTTTCTTTAGCAAGTCTATTGCTCTAATAATTTTGTCCACTTCTATAGGTTATTAATAATAATAATGTTGATAATACTGATGACTTACGTTTGAATGGCCTGATTCCACTTACCTATGTCAAGAAGTGTTATAAAGGGCAATTAGTCATCCATAAAATACCTTATTTTCTAAGAATTTAAAGGAAAATGCCTAAAAACTTGGATAAACTTACACACACACACACACACACACACACACACACACATCTTAATGCAAGTTGCCATGCTCTGTCCCTGCTTCATTTATTTTTTTCTCTGACATGTACTAACTTCTTTAATTATTTTCTCTGTACATTGTTATAGAACTTAGGATCAGGAAATTACTTATCTCAGTGAACTCAACCTCTGAGCACTTGAGCAGCTAGTATCCATAATAGTTAAATGTTATGAATTATGTTGATGTTTGCTGCTGAAAGTCATGTTCACATGAGCTTAATATGTACTGTCAGTGTATTTTTTGTTTAAAGATTACCGCTTTAAATATAAACTGTTGAAATCAGAACGTGGAAAGATCAAGACCTTTTTAGAAGTCTGGGTGCTTCTAGTGTCAGATAATTTTTAGTGTTCTTCCTTAGTCTGTTTAATATTGATTGGCACAAGGGGGCAGTCTTTCCTATAGTATGTGTAGTTTATAGTTATTCATAGCTTTGGTCGTTCATTTTATATTTGATGAAGATCACCATAAAGAGAATTTTTGCATTACATTTATTGATAATGTTAGCCTAGATTGCTTAGTTAAGGTATTATCTTCCAGGTTTCATCACTGTAAAATTATTGTTACTTCCAATTAATTAATTAATATAGGGGAAGATGCTTTGAGACTATGTAAATATTCTGTTTCTTCTCAAACTTTTCCCACTAATATTAGCATCTATTAGTGAATCTTGCTTCTTCCTCAGTTATTACTGTGGTGTTTGCCTATAGTGATTTTCTATTTCCATCAGTCCTTGTGCATTTATTAATTATAATTCTATGAAGGAGCACTGTTCTTTCTCCTTTATTTATTTTATTTCATTACTTATCAATTTAGACTCATAGATACTTATCCTGTTGGTTATAATTCAGCACTGGTATTATTTTATTTTCAGATTGTTCCACCTTTGGCCATGGGAAGTTACTTCGGGTTAGCTTTTGGCATTGACATGCCCTATCCTGTTTTGAACATTTCTGTTATTATTTGGCACCACAAAATTTTCATGGTTTATCATGTGTTTTCCCTTCCTCAACTCTAGAATAAACCACTTCTCCAAGTAACCTTGGTCTTTTTATTGGAGAGTGGTTCAGAAACTAAGATCTGAGTGCTAGATGTGCTTATTGCTATTGAGGTGTCATTGCTTCTAGGCTTTTTCTTGCTAAATGTTCATATCTTTTTTTGCATCTGCTAAGGTGATCATTGTTTTCTTTCCTTTATTGCTGCAATGTGGTGAATTACATTGATTATTTTCAAATACTAAATCTTGATTTCTAGAATAAATCCCACTTTATTTTGATATATTTATTATCCTTTTTATATATTGCTGGATTTATTTTATTAAAGGTTTTTACATTATGCTTGTGAAGAATATCTTTAGTTTTCTTTTCTTGAGATGTCTTTGTCTGGTTTTAGTATGAGGGAAAATAGTGGCCTCATCAAAGTGATTCTTTCTATTTGCTGAAGGAGTTTGTGCAGGTTTGGTGTTATTTCTTCCTTAAATGTTTGATAGAATTATCAGTGAATCCATCTCAGCCTGGAATTTTCATTGTGGCAAAATTTTTAAATTATAAATTCAGTTTCTTTTGTAAATATGAGGACTGTGGCTCTGTCTGCATTTATCCCTGGGCTCCAGGAGGATGGGTAACTGTGATTGGCCCAGCCTTTCATAACTCCATCCTGTGGCCAGTAGACTTGGAAAGTCAATTATCAGAAGAAGAGAATGTAACATATGCAGGGCCCCAGGGAAGTTATCAGCCAACTTGGTTACTTCATTTTGGGTTTACTACACTCTCTACTGTACTCCAAGCCATACACAGAAATAGCACAGTTATGCAAACTCTTTTTTTTCTAGTGATATTTGTGAAGTGGACTTTTACTTTAATATCCCATTCTTTTCTCTGTCCCCCCACCAATCAATTGCAAACTTTTTATGGTTCTGTAGGGCCCTGCATGGTTAACCTACTACCTAAATCTCCAACTTCATCTCTTTTTTTCCCATTCCTTCTCCTGTATCACTCTTGTCCTTTACTTAATAGGTACCAGCCATACCGGCCTCCGTTCATTTCCTTTTCCAAAGATAACAAACCTTTTCTCCGCTTCTTTGTGCTTATATTTTATCTGCTTAGGATACTCTTTGTTTTTATATAACTTATTCATTTATGTCTTTATAGTTTAGTTCACTTGTCACCTTTTCAAAGAGACCTTTTCTAATTATCTTCTCTGAAATAGACCTTCCCTTATTATTACTTAACAAAGCACTTTTTTTTTTTTTGGCATAGTATTTATGAGAATCGGGAATAGTTGTTCTTTTTTTTTTTTTTTTTAATCTGACTTCTTGATCGTAAGCTTCATGGGTGTAGGGACCTGGTTAGTCTAGTTCTTAGCAGTATCAGGTCCCCAGTTCCTGTTATATCATAGACATTTAATATTTATTTGTTGTTTGAGTAAGTAGATGTAAGCAGAAGGTATTAATTTTGGTTTCATATACATGTGTACCTCAGTGTAGAAAACCAGTTTCATTCATTTACTTATTCCCCAAATATTTATTGAATATGTACTATGTACAGAGTATTGGTCCAGATGCCATATACCATTATATATATATATGTCAAATTTGATTTTGAGAACTAAAGAGGGTATTATTAATGTGATGAATTATTTTTTTATTTTTTTTTTTGCTTTGCAAAATGAATTTCCCATGAAATACGTTTTAAAAATCAAATTGTAATAAAAGTCTTTGGTAAGCATCTCTCTTACAGATAAGAAAACAAGATTCAAAGTGGATATAGGCCAAGGTCTCATAATTATTTATAACATAGCTCTTATTCAATCCACATTTCCTAACCTGTGGATTGATATGTCTCATCATACTGCATTCCCTGTGATTTGCTTCTTTAATTTTTTATTTTTCTTTTATTCGGGAACCATTGTGGCATAATACTATTTAGACTTGAAAGACCAGTTGCATTTCCCTTCTCTGAAAACCCAATGACCTGACCTCTTTCTGTTTTTTTTTTCCAGATTTAAAATAGGATCGTAGCTATTGCCTGTGTTACAAAATTTTAAGGGAGAATGACTTAAGAGTTAGCATTTTACAAAATTAAAATTACTCTAAAAATGTAAAGAATTGTTTCATATGGCTTTTTAAATACCATACTGTTGTATAAAGCAGTGTATATTTAAATATAGGCTCAATGATGGTATTTGAGAATTTCTTTTGTTTTCATTTCATTGACTACTTAGCAGATATACTTGAGTTATCATCTGAGATTTGCACATACATTTGTATTATAATTGTACACTTAGGTATAAATATGTCCATGAATGAATAAAGAATTATTATATTTTCAGTTGGAGGCTTACCTTTTTTCTGCTGACAGTTTTTTAATGTCATGTGTTAAGCTATGTTTAGACTATTGACATTTTGAAATTTTTTAATTCAGCCTTGTTATGTGAGTGATTCAACATTATAGTTGAAGAAATCTTTTAGGTAGCATTTGAAAAACATTAATGGTTTTACTTTTTGTTTTGTGATTTTTTTTTTTAGCTGAGTTTCCCTGAGGTCATATGACTAATAGATTCAAACTCAGGTCCTCTGATTGTGTTGCTTCTGCAATATTGCTCTGCCTCTCAAAGATGATTCTATAGTATGTACTTCACAGACTTGCTAAGTTAATGGATGTAAACGGCTTTGCAACCTGTGAGGCTTCTATAATAATAAAAGCATAATATGCTAATTAGACCGGACATCCTTCTGATGACCTTCTGGATGAAGCCAGGGCTATGAGGAAAGCCTAGGTCCCGGGTCCCTGCCAGTGGCCGGAGGGATGCCCGGGTTCCCGGTGCCAGAGGGAAGCTGGTGCCAGCAGCCAGGGGAAGGAAGGCCTACTCTTGCACGAATTTCATGCATCAGGCCTCTAGTCTTCTGTATATATAAAAGCCTAAGCGATCAGATGACCTGCTGGTACTGTGACGCGCACTGACCACCAGGGGGCAGATGCTCAATGCATGACCTGCCTCCTTGTGGTGAGTGTGCTCCTACAGTGGGAGTGCCGCTCAGCTGACAGACAGGCGCTAGAAGCTGGGCTCATGGCTGGCGAGCGCAGCTGCCTGGGGCACGAGCCTCTCCCATGGACACTCCACCTGTGCACCCTAGCGGCTGCGGTAGGCGCAGCGGGGCGGGAGGAGTGGATGATCGATGCAGACAGCTGGCTGAAGCCTGACAAGCTGGCAGGTAAGGCCAGGCTGCCACTGCACGGAGGTCCACTGATCCCCACAGGCCAGGCCGAGGGACCCCACCAGGCCTCCAGAGTCTATGTAAAGTAGAACTTAATGAGGGTTATCAAAGTAAGAAAAGCAAACACTAAAGGAGAAAACCTTTTATTGTGTATGCACTATCAGTTTACATTTCTTAGATAGAATTTGAAATACTTTTGATGCCAGAATAATCTTCTTGAAATGAAATTCTAATTGTATTAACAGATCATGACCATATTTAAAAGTAT